GTAGCCAAATCTTAGCTATGGCCACATCGAGACCCACCGGTTGAACTTTCCAATGGACCCACTCTACATAAAGGAGTGATTTTCACCTTGCTCTAACGTACTTAACACGCTACTAATAACCATGAGCCTCGTTGAAATGCTTTATTTAATCTATCTACGCAAAAGCTTTCACAGAGATTGACAGATCTCCCTTAGTTTATCCTATTTATTGTTCACCTGATTCGTGAAGGTTTGTTGCTATCCCTTAACCTCTGAAGATCACAAGATTATAAAGGAATATCTCAATCAGATTATTTATTTATGACAAATGGTAGGCGTTTTGATAGTTATCATTAGCCCTTTAGTTGACTTCGGGTTTCACAGAGGGGAGGTGGAACATCAAAGTGAGAAGAATTCTGGAGAGGGAATAGAAGAGTGATTCACAGATGCAAAAGCAGCAGACAGATACAAAGGCTCAGAAAGGGTAAGATGAGTACTGTGGTAGGGGTCGAATATGACATAGAGTTTTGGGTGATGGTAATTTGAAGTGAGAAGTCAACATGTGGAGGTAAGTCTTTCCCACACTCCCCCCCCCCCGCAATCAGGTTATAAAAGTTGCTCCACCTATCATTCATTCTCCATTCTGCAATGCGTGTGCTACCTTAAGTACCTATTAGTTGATTCATTCGGGAAAGGCTGTTGTGTCCTTTTAACTCTAGGAAGATCATTAATTCTAGGAGGGGAGGGAGGGGCATTAGAAGGACTGAAATAAGACGGTCTTAGTAAGAATCGGCAACTCATCAATGGCAGTGCCCAGCAAATAAACACTGCCTTTTTCAATTAATCCGCCCTCCTTTTTTGGGCTCGATCGACCTTTGTTCAGATGAATCATCAAATACTAAATATGCACAATATGTGCCAAAGAGTAGTATGCTTTCAATTCATTAATCATATATATATAGGGGTGTGCGATAGACTTACCTCCACGTTGTGCACCCTGGGCAACGTATACTCATACGGCACAAAAGTCTATTAACCGGCAGCTGACTTCTGACTTCAAACTGCCATGACCCCACTGTATGTCATATTACACAGCTTACACAGTACTCATCTCACCTTTTCTCTGTCTTTGTGTCTGTCTGTCTCCTCTACATCTGTGAATCACTCTTCTGTTCTCCCTCCCGAATTGTTCTCACTTTGATTTTCCTCCCTCTGCGAAGCCCAAAGTCAGCTAAATGGCTAATGATAAATATTCAAAACGCCTGCCATTTGAAATAATATATATATATATATATATATATATATATATNTTATATATATATATATATATATATATATATATTAGTTAATCTCGCATTTGCGGAGTGTCAGGTCTGTGTTTTCTGGATTCAATTGATTTATTTGACTTTTGGGTTAGGCTGGCTCAGATTGTGACATAGACATGTTAAGTGTTGCTGCTTATGAGTAGAACTACCGGCTTATAAGGTAATGCCAAATATCTAGAAGGGTATTAAGCAGTGGTTGCGGATAAGAAGTCAAGAGTCTTCTTAAATCTCCATTAAATCTCAATTTTGAAATAATCGCTATGTTCATATCGCAGGCACTGTCACAGACGCAGCACATGCAACGAAAATCAAGGTAATTGAGTACTTTGCTTCAAACATTAAGCAATTTAGAACTCAAATTTATAGATATGACCAGTTATTTTCTTAATTTTTGGTCCTGAGCGAGTTTGGATAAAGGTACTTTGGATGTACTCTTCACCCTTGAAGGTAGCCTGAATGACATGGTGCTTAAGCAAATAAACAACTGTTTTAAGCAATAATAATAAACAACGCTCAGTACAGTATTCTTGTTGTAAAAATTTACTTCTAAATTTATCCATTAAAAAATAATTCGATATTGAATTTTACGGACCAATGTTGAGTAAAACGAATTAGAAGTACGTTTTTCAGGTGTTAGCTTCTTACAATTAAATTTAGCTAATTAAAAGAATTTGGTCAATACTCAAACTCCAACATCCAATTGGATGAAATTATTCTTTTCTTCAATCAAACTGCAGACATTTTGAGGTCATCTCATAATTGGCGTCAGGCTCATCAATTTACCCGGGTATGGAACTGACACCTATCACCAGAAAACTACGGTTATAAAAGTATGACACAGGCAATTGCTTAGGCCAAAGCGTATTGAATAAATCCCAATGAGGACTCAAGTAACTAAGAGAGAGTGGGAGAGAGAGAGCTGTAGGAGAAGGTGACACACATGCGTATGTATTTATATAAGCAGAGTTATATAGCTGCAAGAAGTGGAGGCAAGACTTCGATGATCGATGAAAGTCGACATTACCAAATGCTTACTCACTAACCGTTTAAGTGATCTATCCTGATAATTAAAAAAAAAGCGACCTGAAGACAAGTGATGGTTCTCTTCAAGGAACCTGAAGCTGCAGAAGAGCCATATTTCGAGAGCCACTATGAGGCCAAAGTAATTAGGCCCGCAACAACAAAGCGCTGAAGAGGTAATTGGCTAAAGGCTTCCACAACATCTTTGTGCCTGCTGAGTGAACACTTCCAGTACTTGCTGGGAACTACTGAATGTTCGCCATATTGCTATTCATAATATTTTGTATGTTCTACCTTTAAATAACAATGTAATATTAATTTTCTCCACTTCATTCAAACGTGAACTCTCTTTTATCTTAACTACTAATAGGAACTGAATTTTCGCTATCAATCGATGGCTGAAGGTCAAACTGTCGCTGTCAAAATGTCATAAGCAGAGTGACGTGACTAAAATGGCAGCTTATGGGGTCTTATTGACACCCTATCGAGGATTACTATAAGCACGTTAGAATTTAAGTCGACCATAGCCACCATCAAATTTAAAACTGCCTGAATACAAAACTGGTCTGTAGAAATTATCAGCTTATCTTCTGGACCTTAGACGTCAAATTAGCCAAGGCACTACTCTCAAATTCTTCCAATCTGTTTGTCCCTCCCTTGACACCCACAAAATTGGCAAATATTAAGTCACTAAACCCAGTTCTATTTGAGTGGCATTGCTGAAGAACTGATATACAAATCAGTTATATAATTACCACAAAATTTGAACGCAATCTCCTTGGACATGTGGAGATTAAAGAGGAAGTTTAACTAGCTTAATTAATTAGACTTTCCCCCTTCATCCCAATCTTAATCGTGGAACGACTAAGGAACTCCAAATATCTCCCCACTTAAGGGGAAATGTAAAAACAGAAGGAATAGAGACAAAACTGCCTTATTAACCATAATTTTTATACAGATTACCATTGAATTTCAGGAATGAATTGGTGGAAGTCAACCTTATGGGTGGTCATTAGTAGACGGTGGAGTGCTCCTCTTTGATCTGGTCTCCATCCAATGGTCACGGTTTTCAAGATCAATCTCATGATGGTCATCTTCTTCACCAATTTCGGCTCGGCCCATATCTTCATGAAGGAATTCGAGAGTTCTTATGCCTTGAGGTGGATTTCTCGTCACTCTTCCATAACGAAATTCATTTTTAGTGGCATGCACTGGCTGAAGAGCTGGACGTTGTTGAGCAACATGAACAGCTTTGTCTTCTTTCTTATGAGCACTTCTCCAGGATCTTCCTGCTCCAAAACGTGGTTGTGGATATTCATCAGTAAGCCTTGGCTTTACGTGAATGTCTAGTAAGTGGGCTTGTGTCATATTGTACTCTGGAGAATTCCTCCTGAATCTTCCAGATTCTGGTGTTGATTGCTCGTTTGTTGACATTAGTTGGTCATAATCTTCCACGTGGATAACCGGCTTGGTAAATTTAGGAGGGCTCCTTCTGTGTCGGTTTTCATAATAAGGTTGAGGTGGCAAGATTTGAGGTCGACGATCGATGCCATCGAAGTAGTCTCTCGGTTGTGGTTGGTCTCTATATATGGGGTAGGTTGTATAGTAATTTCTCGGTTGACGGTCTTCAATGGGGGAGAAGGTGTTGTATCTTGATGACTCATGTTCGTAGTAACGCTCATCGTTGTGTATCGACTGAAATCGCAAAAGAGTATCAGTAAGTTATCGCATTTAAAATAATTTCGAAATTTTAACTACTCTTACCGAAGCTGAGACTAGGGCTACTACAAGAGACAAAAAGGAAACTTGAACTTTCATTGCAGCTATAAAATGATGTTAAAAGGCGATTTCTAGGCCATATTTATACTTACAAAGTGTTGACAAGATTTGGTCAAGGACAGGTAAATTGTAAAATGAAAAACTTCTCCCCCTTAAAGTTCATTAGAGGACAATATTCCGAAAACAAAGTAATGGCATAAATATAAACTGACATCTATTTTTGTGTGCCTTCAAGGAAAAGTTTAAACGAGGTATATAACGAGAAATATAACCCACCCCCCCCCTCCAATGGTAAACGAAAGTTGAAAATCAGCAATATTTCAAGTTAAAGCCTGCTCAATTTTTTCTATCTGAACTCCTCTGGTACATATTTTCTTCCTGAAAAGCCAACAGATTTGCTAGTTCTGCTAACATTGTCGGGACTAAAATTGTCAAGGCCTGTAAGATTTTAGCTCATCTCGCAAGTAAACACAGCAAATTCCTTTCTTCTTTGCTTTGATTGAATGCAATGCTAAAAAATCGATAATCAGCTTAAAGGCCGAGTGATGAGTCATTTTAATTGATAAGTAACTGTGCTTCAACTTCAAAGTTGTTACAAGAGAAACACGACTGCAATATGTCGCATTATGAGGCTCATTATACATTTTATATTTCCGAAGAAGCTCTTTGAATAAATTGGTTCGAAGTCGGCCATAATCGTTGCAAGCTTACGCCGCAGACATCAGCGAGTACTAAATCTTTCCTTAAGTTTCAACACAGAGCCAGTGGTTTAATAGTTTAGTTTTAAAATCTTCTTTTCTAGTAAACATTTGGTAACTTTTGATCCACTTTGCTTTATTTACCTTTTTAATGGAATTTTTCGCCAAAAGTACAAAATACCAGCTGGCCCGACCTAATTTTTGTGAAAATTCAAAATCACACTTCAAACTTCTTTTCCCCGTCCTTGTATTACAAAAGGGCTTTTCATCTTAGCCCCCATTGTGGTCATGGAAGGTTAAAAACCAGTATTTTGAATCTAGACGCAGCCCTATATAATGGGAGAATAGAAGTACGATTTTAGAAAGCGAAGGGAAAAAATGAATTCTCGCGCGCTGTTCGTGTTTCTCCTACTTGGTCTCTGCACGGCAACTGCCGTCACTTTTGTGAGCTTACCGTTACTAAATTTGCTTTTAGTTTAGTGTTAATTGCATTCCTATAAATATCTATGAAATAATTTCATAAAACGGTTTTCCGTCCTATCATGTATGATTTCAATTTGCAGAATGAATATTACGATGTCCTTAACATAGTTTATAATTGATTGATATTATTTAGTTTCATTTTTTTTCAATCAAATGTGATATTTTTAAATTAATTACAATCAAATGGAAGGCTTTGTAATAGTTATTATAAGCCCTTTAGTTGACTTCGTGCTTCACAGAGAGGAGAAACATCAAAATAACAAAAAGTCGAGAGGGGGAAGAGAAGAGTGATCCACAGATGTAAAAGTGTCAGACACAAAAGTAGATAAAATTTAAGATAAGGTGAGAACTGTGGAAGTGGTGGAATGCGACATACAGTGGAGTCATAGTTGTTGGAAGTCAAAAGTTAACTGCCGATTTATAGAATTTTTTGTCGTATGAGTATACGTTTCCCAGTGTGCACCACGTGGAGGTCAGTCTATCGCACACCCCTGAATTTCAATATTTGGGTTTATATATGGATTGGTGGCTGTCTAGGTAGCCCCTGTCTGTTTGAAGGTTTATGTATTAAAAGAATGTGCTTTTCAAGTAGTCAGATTTTGTTGAATAATGAGAGCCTAATGAATTGGTCTTTAATTGGGCTGTTTCATTTTGCTTATAATCTATATTACTATATTGATTATTTGATTTATGTCAAAAATTTTAATAAAGCTTAAGGCCATATGTGCCATATCTTGAACCATCTTGTTCTAATCTGAAGGAACTCATGGTGCTACGTTTTTTTCTACTTTATTGTTCCCCGTTCGGTCCCCTTTGAATATGTCCGTATCTGGGCGGATTCCCCTGTTTTACTGTTTGTATTCGCCTCTAAATTATCGCATTTTCCACATTATTTTATATTTCGCAAGTAAGACTAGTTCAGTACTATGAATAGGTATCTTTTTCCCAACTTCATATTCCTTGCCACAGGGAGCTATGCTTGATAGTACGCCACCCAGCTCATATGTTTGGGTAGAGAACAAAATATTCACTTCAAGTTCACTATGACATCATAATGCATTTGCGTTGGTTACTTTCACTTTGGTTCCGATTAGTGCAGCTCCAGATATCTTCCACGAAATTTGCCTCCTTGCACCTCCCTAGAATGCTTTATGACTCATCTCTTAACTTTTGATACCAATACACAAAGCCCCTATTTACTGGCATATCCATCTCATACTGAAACGACTATCACATGGGAACAATGTGTTTTTAATTGATAGCACGGAAAGTGGCGATTTATAAGAAGCAAAATTTATTTATTTATATCAAATGGCAGGCGTTTTGGCAGTTATCATTAGCTCTTTAGCTGATTTCAGGCTTCACAGAGAGGAAAGAACATCAAAGTGAAAACAAGTCGAGATGGGGGTGGTAACAGAAGAATGTTTTAAAGATGTAAAAGAGACAGACATAAAGGCAAAAAAAGGTGAACACCGTAAAAGTAGTCGAAGATGACATACAGTGGGGTCATGGTAGTTTAAAATCAGAAGTCAACTGCCGGTTTATAGACTTTTTGCCGTATGAGTATACCTTGCCCAGAGTGCACCACGTGGAGTAAGTCCAACGCACATCATTAAATAGCAATATAATCACGGCTCTTAATATCAGTAATTCTTTCAAACAAGTTAGTATCATTTATGGTCTATACAATTTCGATCATTTTTAGGGCAATCGTATTAACTTTTTTAAACCAACAAAGTTTATTTACTTGAAAGTTTTACCCCCTCCCCAATCCCTTTATGTTATAGTAAATGATTATCAACATGGATGTTTTGGAAGAGCATATATGCAGCACTAAAGTCAAAGTCATTAAATTTTATTCAATCATTCCAGGAATACATATATATATATATATATATATTCCCGATGTGAAAATTAACGCATTTTCCTCCATTCAGCCAAATTTTGACGCCAAAATCGACGAATACTTGGAAAAAATCCGCTCGAAAAGATCCCTTGACAGAGATCGTAAGTATCGTGGTTTTGCTCATAAAGTAAATGTTTCCTAGTTTTGAACCAAATAAAGCAACATATTTACAAGAGCATAGACCGAATATTCCACTATTTACGCGAGTGTAAAGCACGTGGTATCACCGCGTCGAAGTGTGAAATGACTGCTATCGCCAAGGTCGATGGAGATAGGGAGGGAGAACAGCGCAGTCGGGGAAGATACGGAGTGAAGAAACCAATAGATGAATCAAATCAACAAAAACCATTCGATAGCAACTTTAAGGACCAAAGTCAACAGATTAGGAATCTTAATCATCCCAGTACTCGAGCACAAAATGACGGAAATACAAGAGTTGAGTATGCGGAAGGACCAGATCCACGATTAGATGAAAGGCAAGGAACTCCGTGGGTTCTCCAGTCTTATTCCAACGCCCCACCTCCTTCCTTTGAAAAACCGCAGATTATAATTGATCCATCCGGTTCATTCCGGGAAAATCAAGGTGAATTAGTTAATAGTGCTAAAAATCGGACTAGACCGTGGTTTCCAAAAAGTCCTTCTGAAAGACCACCAATTCCAAGAAATTCGAATTTCGCAGATCAGAGTAATGTCCCACAATCTTTGGATGATCACCAGAGACGATCATTTGCCATTGATCATTCTGATGCATTTAAGAAACGGGAACAAGAAACTTCTCAAAGGTTGACTAAACCTTATACACCGCAAATATTACCCTACTACAAAAACGAGCAACCCTCCCGACAAAGTTTAACAAAACCGTGGTTCCCACAATCGGGTTATGGGCAGCCTCAAGTTGCTAGTGGTCAAACTGAATCACCCAGTGAACCCATTCACAAAGTGCCTTTGCCTCTTCCTATACAAAACTTGGATTTTTCCAATCCAGGAGTTCAACAGCGATATGATCAAAATAGGCATCATTCTTTGTCTGGATTGGCATTTCAAGAAAGAATCGGAGGATCGCCTGAAGATGAACAGCGAAACACACAATCAGGAACTGAAGGGAGATTTGCAAGTGTTGAAGCACATAATTCGCCTACCTATGAAGGAAATAATATTCCCTTTGAACAGGAACGACTATCCGGACGTCCAGAAGTTAAACCGAGGTTTGAAGGTTCTTACCTATTACTAACGGCCTATGAGGGTAATAAATATCAAAGACCTGTAAAGCTTCCAAAATTCGATCCCATATTCAGCGATCAAGATGGAGTGAGGAATGCTAGGTTACTTAGAGGTGAAGCATTTGTTTATAATCCAGGTCAGAATTTTGTTGTTGGATCGAATCGACAAGACAGTTATCAAGTTCAACAAACTTCCCCACCCACACCAGGGGTAGCAGCACTACCTACAGGTCAGTCAACTGTGAGACCATATATCAATCCAAAATTTGATGTTTCGAGGTCTTCAGATGGTGTTTTGAATATTCAAATTGAAGGAAAGTCTTATCAGATTGACCCATCAAAAATGTTCAGGGCTCGTACTGGAGGCCGTTCGGAGCTAATAGAGGATGAGGAGTTTCGAGTTGCAGTCCCTGATATCTCGGCCAAAGTCTCTAACAACTCGAATAAATCACTCAAACAAAAGAGATCTACTGGCGGGGAACTTAGCTCTCACGCAATCGACAATAACTTCAACACTGATCCAACTAAGATGATCGGTGCTCGACCTGGAAGAAGAGTGGAGTCTTCACAGGAAGAGATAAATGTTGAGTCTGGCCTAGATCCCGATCACACTAATTTTGAAAGTGCAGAAGAAGCAGGATCTGAAGTTGATTCTTCCCGGGTTCGTGCAGTTAGAAGCGCAGAAGATGAAAACCAATTTCTATGAATCTGGATGTAGACATACATTCCGTCGAATAAAATATGTTTGACAGTTTTCAAGAAGGCAGATAGTTGTTGACAAATAATGCAACATTAATTAGTTCAGGGATTTTAGCTTTAGTTTTCACTATGTGCGTCGGAAATTGCATTCATGTTGTTCGAGTTTCTAATCCTCCCACCCCCCACCCTAAATTACCCATTCCAATTAAGTTGCCTATTGGAACAGCTTTAGTGAATGCAGGTTTTACCTGCTTCAAGGCTTATAAATAGCGCCACTATTTGGGATAAATGGGAAAATTGAAAGGAATTCGACAAGAGCACTGTGTTTGCTTCTTCAAATTGACTAATTGGGGACGTTATTTCTGTGTACAAATAGATAAATAACTGAACTTCGACATAATAGAGGTCAAAGTGGTTAATTACTGATGTAATCTACGTGATTTGAACTGTAATTCGTTTTATAGAAGTCCCTAGGAGGAAATATTTATTTCAAATGGCGGGCGTTTTGAAAGTTACCATTAGCCCTTTAGCTGACTTCGGACTTCACAGAGGGGAAGGTGAACATCATAGTGAGAAAATTCGAGAGGGAGAAAGAAGAGTGATTCACAGATGTAAAGAGGTAGATGGACACCAATGCAGAGAAAAGGTAAGATAAGGTAAGGTACTGTTGAAGTGGTCGAATTTGACATACAGTGAAGTTAGAAGTCAACTGCCGAATAAAAGACTTTTTTGCCGTATGAGTATACGTTGCCCGGAGTGCCCCAGGTGGAGGTGAGTCTATCGCGCATCCCTAAGTTTAAATATAATGCTCCCTGCTTAAGAATTGGAGCATTATCATCGTGACGTGTGATATTAACGAAGTGGTACCTATTAGCGTACACTTGACATCACCTCAATGCCGTGGTTTAATGAAAAATTACAAAGGTGGGGATTTATGGCCTTAGAGACACGAATCAACATTAATTTCTTTTTTTTGACCAGGATAATCCATTCTATAAATGGACTCATTGTCGTCATGGTATATGTGCTTTATCCATATCACTTTCCAAAGCGTAATATCAACATCGAATTAAACGATTTTCGCACAACCAATAATGTAAATCGACAGATCAGAATTTTATCAAAATTTGAAAATTGGTTAAATTCTATGGTCAATTATCGCTAAATTAGTAACTTTAACTTGAATAAAATATTAATTAACAAAAGTGTTTTATTCATTACTTGAAACCTGATCTCATCTTGAAGTCTTAGTGACCCCCTCCCACCACCACCACCACCCCCCCCCTTAACCCTCCAAAAACTCGAGATTCCTAAACAAAAGTGCTGCTTGTGATACCTACAGTACAAGGGACCACGAACCTCTTTCGGTGTTTCATTCCATTTGGACACAGGGGAAGTAAAATTTTCCCTTTGTTAGCTGAAAATAATCGGTAAGTATTATTTTTCTCAAATCGAGTTGAGAGCATGAGGTGAGAGCTTTTGCACAATGATTTTTGAGACGAAGGTTGTTGATTGCGCTATCGGATGTGATAGATTTTGTATGCATAAGCCTGTAGCGGATTGCTACTTTATTAAAGCCTGACTGACTCAGAAATCTCTATGGCAGATTCTCGAGCTAGACTCCCAGAACCAGCTAAACTATAGCCCAGCTATCGGAAAACAGACGTGTAGCAAGGAATACGTTTATTCGATACGGGAAAACAGACGTGTAGCACGGAGCACGCTTATTCAGTACGGATTCAGACGTGTAGCACGGAGCACGTTTTTTCAGTACGGGTATCAGACGTGTAGCACGGAGCACGTCTATTCAGTGAGCATATTACGAACCAGCTAAGCTATAGCCCAGCTACAAAGGAAACAGACATATAGCTCAGAGCACGTTTATTTAGTGAGCATATTATGGGTAAAGTGTACACGCAGGGAGCTACTCATGGTCGGGATGGGGGATTAGGTTAAACAGAGGTTAATGATTGGTCACTGTACGGTCGCTGCACACAGAGTTGTACGGCGCACCTCCCAATCCTGGTGAGCAGACATGCAGGCATTCGATGACGCACAACGCGATAACGTGTCCCACAAGCCAAAGCCGCTTCCAGTTCAACCATGCTAGAATAAACCGAGAAGTTGAGCTTAAGGCGCCTTAATTGAAGCACACAGAAGATAGTCTGCAGCTCTTTGATTGGTCTCACGTATATTATATGCAACCACCCTTGATACTCTTTCCATAAGACAGGTTCTTGTCTTTTTCCGTTCACCAGTTTTGATTGTTTAAAGCAGATATTTGACTTAGTTCGAGTGTAGGTGATCTAATAAAGATATTTGGAGGACTTGAGCAATGTGGAGAATTCGGAATTATGGAAGAGACCTACGTGAAGACGCCTTCTTTATGCCCCACCTATCGCGCCTTTTTAAAACTGCTTAAAATGCCTTTGTTAAGATTAATCCCTATCACACACGAGGTTCCTTTGATCCTTCTTGTTAGCCTTGTGGAATAATTCGAAATTAATTATTTCGTGATTTCGAAACAAAATAAATCACCACAGCTATAGACTTTGTTTTGCCAGCTTCAAATCATTATTATTATTACAATTTCAAATGGCAGGCTTTATATTGGTTATCATTAGCCCTCCTGAGTGTACGTTGCCCAGGATGTGCAACTTGGAGTCACGTTCATCAAGTACACCAGGCTAGCCGTCGATCATGCTTTTGCCGGGAGTCGAACCCGAGCCGACTGCTTGGCTGGAAGCCATGCCAACCGTCACATCACGCAAGCATCTCCAAGCCATAGGTAAACTAATTTTATGCATTGTTTTATTGTAGTCAACTAAATGATCTAAAACTAAGAGGCTAAATAAGAGACATGAGGATACAGCATATGAGAGATCCTTGGTTGGTTCATGCGATTCTCCCCTCCTCCTCCCCCCCCCACCCTCCCACCCCCTCCCATGATCAACTCCTCATGCACCATAATTCATAATTTTTGGCTCTATTTAAAGCTAAGTGAATTTTCCTACATCAGTAACCCGATCCGGCTTGGCTCCCAAAGAGCTTGAAATGTGATCGAAGCAGGTTTCAACAAGGGTTATAACGTAAAATGAGATTAAGTAGTCAGTACTACCCTTTCATATTTTCATATGGGTGTGAACAAGTCAAATCATGATTATGCTCACTCGTCAAATAATATGCACTCTATCAACCGTGATATTTAATCACTCACTTTAGGTCTGATAAATCGCAAAGAGAGTCAGTTTTAGTGAGAAGCGCTAAGGCATTGCCCAGAATGTGCGATCCCTCGAAGTGGAAGCAAGCAATCGAGTCAAGAAGACAGCGGCTAAATGCAAGAAATTTAACCCAATCCCTGCACAAAACACCCTACTCGAATCTATATGAATTAACGATTAAGTTTACTTTTATATGCATATTATCCTTTTCATTCTCTTAATCAATTTCTTAATTCCTTCATTAACCTCACATTTTTAGGTATTATTACAAAGCTACCTTATGAACTCATTCAGCATCAGCAGACAATAAGTTATGAACATCTTTCAACAGGACATCACTTCCAATCAATTGTGGAGGGAACTGAAGCCTCAGAATTGTACTTTTTCAGCAACGGAACCAAATTCAGAAAATATGAACTAACTTGGAATTCAAACTCCAAAGATCATGAAGTGGAAGGCTGGTTTGATACGTGGTATTCTAGTTTGGAATTCCCGATGGAACTTGCCATGGCTTATCCAAAATTTAAACGATGCAAGGCTACAGGAAATTTCATTGCTTTAGACTCGGGAAAAATTGTCCTTTTTCGAGATTTCGGTGAGAATTAATCATATATTAATATAATTATCGTTCAAATGATTAGAGACAATAACCAGTGCACATCTTTCGTTTTATTCAAGAGCATAACTTGCCGACCGTTTTTGATACTTACATGCACATTTTCAGCAACTGGACTAATTTTAAGTTTGTAACAGAAGCTGTGAGTCCTGATATCCCGCCTAAAATCGGAACTCAATCCACACAAATAGCTTGTCTAATTCACAACAGCTCGATCATTTACCGATTAGTTCGAAGCCTTAGACAAGTTTTAACGTACAATTGTCTTAACTGCATGCCATATGTCAAACTAACCGAGAATACATTAGTGGGACAATTCGGAGCAATGGCCAGTACCTCCTTGTACGATCGTGTTGACGCGCTATCGGCATATGTCTCTGTGAATGAGGACTTTAGTCTTCTGAATTTATCTGCTCCTAGTAGAGAGATAGAACAAATTAATTTCAGGACAAGGAAATACACGTGCGGCAACAGCATCTCCTACATGCAATGTATCCTGGATGTTTCGAAGAACAGAAGGGGAATAGTTGTGCAAAGATGTAATGGTGGCGTTGAGCTGTGGGATGATCGTCAACCAAAATGTCCGTCGGTGATATATATACCTGATGTACCTTGCTATGATATCTCTCTTGTACCACATCCACCGGTTGTGGAATGGCCAATGCAGTCTATGATAGCACTAAGTCCAGCCCGCTGCAGATCTATCTTACTATGTCGTTTGGAAACGGGTGAGCCAATTAACGTCTTGGAATATCCGGGCGGTTTCAATAACGAGAGTTATCAAAAAATAATATTCCGATCAGAATGGAATTTTGACCGCTGTTCACCTTGCCCGCCAGGACCAGTAATTGCGACGATCGATCGAGATAAAATCAGATTTTTCCATAAAAATTTTGACACCGAGTCGGTTCACGACCTTAACTCAAGCTGTTTGAATGACTGAGTGCATTGCTTTCTGGGTAATGTGGTTGTACTGCGATTAAGATGAATGGTTTCATTTTATCCCAAGACATCAACTATTAGCCCTCTGTAAAAAAATGAAAACAAAGGTATTGGACAGATTTCATAGACTTACTTTTATTACCTTCTTACATTCTTACTTTGGGTTAAGATCTAAGGTGTGCACCAATTTCACATTAATTGAAATGACACTGTACTCGAAAACCGATTAAATTATTATTATTATTAATGCTCGATGTGCATTATTCGCTAGTATATTTCAAAGGTCAAAGTAACAAATTCGTCCCTAAATGGGAACAGAGAGGATATATTTTTGGTCATTATGATTGTGGTAGCTTTCAGTAATGGTGAAGTCAGCACTCTCAAGCGGTGAAAATCAATGATTCAACTCAATACGGTCGTAAATTTTTATGTATAATGTTGCATAATTAATAGATTCCAAGTACTATCAGTATGCGCCACTGGAGTGTTCAATACTAGCACATATTGGACTAATCGTGCAAACCTAGAATTGTCTCGATGTAGATATACATATAAAATTTACCTCCCAATAAGCTAATTGGGTGTTGCTAGTTGCACAGCTTTTTCATTAAGAGCCTTTTTTCTGGTTTTCATAGTTAAGCATTTGCCAATCAAATTATGAAAATCCAAAGAGGTTTCTATTTACTTAATTTTATTTTCCTGTTTACTTAATTTTGTTCAGTAGTATTGCAAAATAGAAGATCATTCTATTCTTAATAATTTATGGGAATAAGAGTAAAGTTGAACAAAAATTACAACAATACGGATCACTAAAAGATTATCCGCCAGTATTTGTGAAATTATTATGTATATATATATATTTATTTTGAATAGGTAGGAAAAACGAAATTTCTAAGTTTTACGACCGTAAAAGAAATTACGTGGTACGTAAGAAACTAGTTGCTTTTCAAGGGACGAATCGCTCCTTTTCCGTTGGATTGGAAGGTGTAGATATACTTAATTGAAGCTAACGATTGTCTAATATTTGCCATCGCAATGAAGATACCATTCAAACACTTATTAGAGACTGGTGCTGAAAGTAACAAGGCAGAGAGGTCAAATAGATTGTATTAAAGAGGTCAGTAAGTTAGGAAACTTATTTCATTTCAATTTTACGATCATCAGGTTATTTATTCACTCCGTAATATACTAGCATGGTAAAACCCGACTTTAATCTACTGACCTCTTGTAGATAATTGACACCAGGAATGAAATTCCAAAAATTTTGTAAAGAAGATGGATAAAAATTAATACTTTTATTTAGTAGCAGTGCCGTCGTGAGCTTCATGCACTAACGACAAGTCTGGATAGAGTAAATAAACAAAGCTATTATTGATCTTGCAATAGTCTGTCCTATAACGAAATTTAAAGGGAAATTTTTGCCAATATAAATCGATACCATTGCCAAGGTCAAATGGATTGATGGAAGCTCAGCCCACCGTTTTAAGTCAATTCTATTTTAGTTCAAGGACTATAGGTGATTTCGAATATACTAAATTATACTGAATTATTATTTAAATTTTTTCCAATGAAATTGCATGAACTAAAATATACATCCATTCGCTGTTTCACTTTAATAGCATATGGAGTTTACAGTAACAAAGTACCAAATGGGCTTTTATGCTTAAATTTGAAGGGAAAAATGGCACGGTAATCAGTAAATGTGTTTAGAGGGAAGAATTTGTTTAGATTCGCGCCTTAAGTGAAAGGAGAAAATTCTTTCTGTCCCAATGAGAGTGAAAGAGAGAGAGGTCTGTATGAAACCATATGTGGGTCAAAGCTTTCTAACAAATTAATTTAATGAGTGAAATTTGCGAGTATATTTACACAGAATAGTAGAAGGTTGCATGAAAGGATTCGCTAAATGTAAATTAGAGTTAAGTTCAAAAGTTCACCATTGTTTCATTGCAAAAGTCCTGCCTATTGGAAACCACTTGGCGGAAAGGCAGATTTCTGGCCTAGTCATTGGTATTGTGTCTTGTAACCCGATAGTTCAAAAGTTATTAGAATAGAGAGGTCACAATGCAGTTGTTGCAATGTAGGTTCACTTTTAGCTTTTTCTCAGCGGAAAATGGAAATTTAATTGAATGTAAAGCCCTTTAGTAGTGAGCCCTTTGACCCCATAGCTATCAAATGTGTCAACAGCGTACCTTCCTTTTTTCTCTCCAATTAATGGTACCACCATTTATTTCTCGGGTCTCTAATTAGAGTTTCTAGTTAATAACTGTAGAAGAAAGCCCAGTTAGCGTTGAAAATTGTTTGAAATTTGGTACATTCATTAACTGCTAAAGCAAAAGTTGTGAAATATTTACATTGTTTTACCCAATTAAACGATAGAATGCGAAAAAAACCAACGTTTCCATCATAATTACTCGCTTTTCGCATGAGAAATGAGGTTCCATTGTAGCGTAGTCCCTTTTGAACAGTAGTTTCCGTGAGCACAGGAGAATTCTAGATGATGTAGTCGTGAGTTTTAAAACCACGCATCTATTCAGAAATCAATAGTTGCTTCCTCGAATCGTAGCTAAAAATGAATTCTAATGATAGTCATAATAAGCTATTCACGACATACGTTCTGTTTTCCGGAACAGCTTTATACTAGAGCATTTTGTAAATATAATTGCCTGAATTTAAGCCAAGGCTTATTTGTGCTCTATCCGCTATAATGTAATGAATGACCTTAATTTTCTTCCAAAACGACACCCCAAATTGGCCCCTTTTCTAAGTCATTAAATCAAATTCCACGTGCCTAAAAGTTCAAAGCAATACTTTTCATAATATGGAAATTGGTTTCAATTAACAAAATTTGTTATAATTGCTAAATTTCGACGATTGTTAATTCAAATTTCCACCTAATACACTGTAGAAGATACTACCGAAGTAAGGAATTAGTAGAGACAAGGCCATGCATTTCATTATTCATTCTCAGTTCATCCATTGACCCCATTGTCGGAAATTCCTTACCCAATCAAGATTAAAAGAGCCCAGAATGTGTGCCAAATATCACCACGCTTTGGAATAAACATTTCCAATTCATTTAACACCCTGATTCGCGCTTAACCGCACTCATACCAATACACTCTCAAGGAAAATGTGGTTTCTGGCAATATTAAGCGTAAGATGTTAGTTTACGTAGTTTATCCGATTTAAACGGGACGAATTTTTACTTCAACTTCTTATTTCAGCTTTTCTGGTTTCGACCCTCATTTTCCCGGCTCACAGTACCAATCCTACCTGTAAGATTTTACGCCGATTTCACAATTACTTATACACCCCGAGATGATCCTGACATGCCTATTCCACCCTGGTTCGACGGTATTCCTCCTGACCTTCCATATAGCATTGGAAGGGGATATGCGGTCTACGCGTCTGACCTTGATATGATGGTAGAAAATTACACTGACTATTGTGTACCCATCTTCCTTCCAAATGCCGACTTTCCTTGTGTTATGCTGAATTACAATCACACAGCTTACCTCATTTCTCCTACTCTTAATGGTTATGGTCCATGCTGTGTCTATCGTCCTAACTGGTCACCACCCCATAGAGATTTTATGCGAAATTTTGAGGAATATTATCATGGATCCACGAATGTTCTTGGAGAGAAAAGAAAGGTCCTGAATCAGACAATAGATTGGTGGGATATACCGCTACTTGAAAGCGGTAAACCTGGAGATCATCCCTTGTTTGGTGGTTTTGGATTTGCTAGAAAACCATTGCCAAGGTAAGCCGAAGTGAGCACTAGCACAATCAATTAATGAGTGTTTTGCTATATAGTGGGCCATTTCTTTTTGCATTTCAGTACTTATCGACCGTACGTTTCATTCTGGTATGAAGGTGATGTTGGCTGGGCTCAGCAAATATTTGAAAATTTTACGGACACAGGACCTGGAATTCATCTACTTGACAACTTTCAACTGCCAAATATCTGCAAAACCAACTTAGCCTGTAATTTCAAACCCTAATTAAATGACTTTCTTGTTAAAATTCGAAGTGCTTACTAGTTTGATGTAATTCCACTGCAAATTGTGTTAATTCCATAATTTATTCCAAAGTTGATGAAAATGAATATTAAAAAGTAGCCATGGTAGCAAAATGCATAAGTGCTTGAGGGTACGGAAAAAAAGTGATCCAATTCTGTATAAAGAAGCCAAACAAGAAAACAATAAGCCTACACAATAACATAGCTAAAATTCGTCATATGCTGTTGGAATCCAACACATTTTCACTTTGTCTAATCTCTATATTAGCCAAATACGCGGTAGACCTACCTCCACGTAGTGCACCCTGGGCAACGTATACTCACATATGGCAAAAAAAGTTAAAACCGGTAGTTGACTTCTGAGATCAAACTGCCATCACCTCACTGTATGTCATATTCGACCACTTTCACAGTACTCACCTCACCTTTTTTCTACCTTTGTGTCTGCTTCTCTTACATTTGTGAATCACCCTTCTGTTCCCCACCTTGACTTTACGTGACTTCGATGTTTCTTCCCTCTGTGAAGACCAAAGCCAACTAAGGGGTATCATAAAGCCTGCTATTTGATATGAATAATAGCCAAATACAAAAAAATACTCAAAGAAAGTAACCAATAGAATAAAAGTCAAATCACCCGGAGATTACCAATTTGATCTTCTCAAATTGTTAGGTTTGGCTTTTTCCTCACTTGGATTGAACATTCGAGAGAACGAATTCATACCTACGCTAAACACACAGGTAACCCACATACCTTAAAACCGAAATCTCCTCTTATTCTCCGTACTTTTGGACAGAGGAAACGAGAATCGTGACAAGACTAGGAAAATTTCGGGTAGACCTGAAGATCCATTTTATTAATTACTTTACAGGAGAGACAATAGCGCTCAAGCGAGTAGCATTCTCAACACAAAATAGGTACAAAACAAGGGTGTGTGTGTGTGTCGTCGTCGTTGTCGCTTTCATTGTCGTCAGCAGAAAATAGAAATCTGGGGGCACAGCGGGGAAACCGTTGCTGCAGAAGAAGATATAGGAGGACGGTGATGCGCATATTAAATTAACAGAAGCTACGAAAACACAAAGTAGAAGCATCGTTGGTTTTTCTTTGAGATCCTGGCTTCGTATGATAACGATTGGAAATTAATTACTGGGACTGTTTTCCTTGTCGTCTTCGCTCTAAAATACAAGCGGGCGAGGGAGGGCAGAAAAAAAATAGACAAATTATCAAAAGGTAAATGCAAAAACGCAAAAAAAATCATAAAGCCCAACTTACAGCTAGAAGAGACCTATCAACAGGGAGCCGGAAATTGGATCTTTCCTTTGTTAACGAATTTCTATTGGCAATTAGTTTAGGTCGAGGTGATTGAGTTCGCTTCAAGACAGATAATGTGGGCTTAAGGGAAGGTCTAGCGGAGAAATCCGTGGAAATTGGTAGATCGGAGGTCTCGTTTTTCACTTCTGCAACTGCATTCTCATCGTTTTGAATAGAGTGACGATGCTTGGGAGATGGCAAAGATATTTGTGAAGGTCGTTTTCTTACTGAAAGGGGAGCCTTGCTCTCGATATTTTCAGAGGGCGTTGTGGGACGAGGCATTCTTAATGACGATTCAGATTCTGCGGGCGGTTGAATATCAAGAATCTCATCATTGCTGGAACGTTCCGAAAGTCGCTTTATTAATGGGAGAGGAGAATTAGGTGTAGAGGAATTTGTCAGAGAAATGGGAGGAATTGGGGCGCTCGTATGAGCCAGAGGCGGAAACTCTTTTAAAATATTGAAATTGGCAGGCATATTCGTCGATGCTAAACGATTCAAGTTTCTTAGACTTTCTGCTAGCATTGATTGGGTTAAAATATCCTGAGGAAGAGCATTCGGCATCACAGGGATCGACTCTAACGGATCTGTTGATTCAAAAGTCATATTTAGAGGGGCAAGAGGCGTACGATTTACTAAACCTAAGCCAATTGTTCCATCTGTCACAACATTAGAAGTCTCATTTAGCATCTCGGGGCTTTCAGACACGTTTTGATCCTCTATACTATCCAATTCCTGCTTGCTAGTGTTCAAAGAGGCTTCAATTTCATCCATATAGTAGTTATTCAATAAATCCCCCTCAGGCGGAACATAAAACTTGATGTAGGGATTCATTTCCTCATTCTTTAATGATGCAATATCAGTGGTTTTAGGACATCTTCGCATATGCTTCATAGCATCCCATTTCCACTTGCATCTGTACGGGCAAGATCGACAACCAAAGAGCTTGTGGGCTGAGTGGTTGCAGACGTGGGTCTTCAATTCGCTGTACCACTTTCCATTGAAATCGGTGCAAAATTGGCATATGATGCGTTTCCCATCTGGACGTTTTCTGTCTTTCGGTCCCGAAAGAATTGATTCTAAGTGATGTCCAAGGAGTTGGAGACATTCAAGTGTTGTTTGAGACATTGATTCAACTGTCATCTCCTCTATTGACTCGTGTTGTAGTAGGTTTGACGCATTACTCAGCAATTCAATAAGAGATGAACGGGAAAAAGAGTTTTCTCCCGAAACGGATTTCGAATTCTCAGTTTGCTGACAAGCAGCAAGCGTAAGATCTACAGGTTCTATTTGCTCTATGGTTATCTCTGGCATCTCACCTCGCGGTTGCTGAGGAAGTAGAGATTGCCCTGCATTAAACTTATGACGTTGCAATGGCAATGAGAAGCGCGGTTTGATTTCTCTAATAGGGGTGGAATTGGCTTCGGAGGGCAAGGAGTTGTTAGCGTCACCTGGTCCATCAATTTCTGGATGTTTATCTTTAAAGTGCTTATTGAGCGACTTCTTGTATTTATATGGCAGCTTGCAAAAGGAGCAGAGATAGGAGATTTCACCTTCTAAAGACGCGATCTAAAAAATTTAGATATAAAAACGAAAGTAGTAATGGAAATAAAGCCGTGTCAAAAGATTATACGTCCACAGGTAGTATGTGGGACCTAGTCTTGCTTATTTATAGTCTTGATTTGCCTAGAAATTTACCTTTAACTAATGAATATCACTATGCGCCTAATTAATTTTACGCCTGGCTAGCAAGCCGTATACTACTATTTCAATTTATAGGCTACAAGATGGAACCCCTCTTTGCATTTTTTTACACATATAATTAAGTAGCCATAGGCTATTTGCTGATTTATCAAGATATAGACTTCGAGCAAAACTAAAATTTTAGATTCTGAAGGAATTTTTTGCATTAGTTGGTAAGTTATACTTAAGCAACACCATCATGCAAGCGAACAGAGGCGATACATGCTTTCTCAATCTAAAAAAGAATAAATAAATCGATTCGAGAAAGATCATGCAAGGCCATCCATCCATGTAAAGGCATCCTTATTAATTATTTAGCCGGACATAGTGGACAAAAAAATTGCTCAGTTAATGTAGATGACCAATCACGATATTTGAAGTGAGAATCGTGGATTGCACTTGGCGTAAATATGTCCCAAGTCGGGTGAAATATCGATTAAGGAATTGTTTTGGCAACTTATTACAAAATGCTTAGCCTGGTGTAATACATATTAATTATTAAATTAAATTACTAATAAAATGCTAAAACCATAAATTGTGAAGATATAATAGCTTCTATTAATTAATTAATCCATATCCGACTAAAAGTTGATCTTGACAGTGACTTTAAGTCACGCCATTGTTTTAAACGACTTTGGTTGAGATAAAATAGGCTCTTCAAACTCATGTTAGAGCTTAATTGAAATGGCGTAAAATAGCTGATACTCTCATATCCATTTTCGTAACCTTATTCTAGTTCAAACATTTAGAATTACACAAAATCCAGAATTAATAACCACCTCATTTCTCGGTAAGTTTCACCGATTCTAATCGGAAATGCGTTGATACATAAAACATTTTAAGCAAAAAATTCAATTTATCTCGGTAGGAGGCAGATTTCTCGAGAAACCACCGGAGAGGCGCTCTATAAGAACCTCACAAGCTTAATTCTAAGTTAAACTCGAAAATAATAAGGAAACACCACATTAAGCAGCCCGTGCAATAAGCGAAATTATTAATTCAATTTAAGAACTTTAATGAACCCCACACAGTAGTCCGAAATGGTAGAATGCCAAGCTACATTGAAAATCATGAATTTACAATTTATAGACAGGTTAAAAGAGTTGAGACACCTGTAGAAACGCGTTTTTAACCAAGGAGACTCAAAACAACAAACTAGACACCCCGCGGTCGCAAATGCGAGGGAAGCCTTAGTTGCCAATGTTCCGTCCCACTGCATATGCAAAATCCGAAGAGGCACTCAATGCATTTGACCTCACTTTTAATGTCCTGAGCACCTGAGCGCAGTTGTACACCGACCCACATTTATTTATGTTAGACGCAATTTTCAGTCAGGAATGAACCTGCCTGTCTGTCGCGATAGTTTAACTCCAAATTGAGCTCTCGTCTGAACTAATTTGAGGAAGGCTAGTGGAATCCATGTGGAGATTTGCCACTATGCGGGTGACTTTATCTTAGCTACTAGATGCAAATATTAAGGGCGAAAACCCGGCACCGAGAATCGTACTCTAGCCAAAAAAAGCAGGCCACAACATGCAATGCCCAAATAGTAAAAAGCTTTAAACACGCTTGTGCAAGAAGCCAGAGCCCTGGCCGCACCAAACTTGGAGTAGCGTTTGATTCCAAAAAGAAAATTGATTTTTGTGGAAGTTGTAAATGACATCTGGTAATACTGCCGTTAGAAAATCGGATTTTATTCAAACGAGTAGGGAAAGCCTACCGAGATCAGTAAATGGTTGGCTCTGTTACTATCTCATAATGATTAGATTCAAACAAAATCCTAACAGAATCTGACCAAATAATTGAAAAAAGAGTATAAAAGAGTAGATGGAAATGGTAGGGATCTATACTAGAGTGTCCTCAAATCTATAGACCAACTCAAAACGTAAGAAAGGTAGCAATTTACAATAGTCTGATTTTATGCATCAAACAGAACTTTAATCAACCTTAAAAGGGCATAACGTTTTACGAATTCTAGTCTTAGAATACATTTCCTAAAACCAAAATTTTAGTCTCAAAGACAAGAACTGTTATGATGATAAATAAAATCGATACAACAAATCAATAAACTCACCTCGGTGTATTTCCAATTTTCAACAGGTCTCCTAGGTTGATAACGAGATTGAGGAATGAAAGAGGAAGAGCAGGAATGACGTCGTATTTCAGGACTTGCTAATTCCGAGTTTGGAAAAGAAGTTACTACTTCTGCAGGATTTGGTTGAGTCATTGGAGTGGAAGAAAAAGTGGCGAAATAGGTCGAAAAAGCTTGATGTGTTTGCTCATTTCTAGAGATGTGGAACTGGTCTCCTTGACTTAATGGAACGGAGTGTATAGGGAGATTCTCTTTAACCTCGTCAACGCACAACAGAGATTGTTCGTTTAGCCTTGTAGTAGAAGATTCGTGATTTTTACTCAGATCGGCCATTGCACTGACGCTAGGACTAAGCAGGTGCCTTAAGTGTGAATACATGAGACCTTATTTGAGGCATCGACCAATGAGCAGCTGGTCGTATCATTTCTCCAATAGAATTCCAGCTCAAGCTAGTGCGCGTGGTGCGTGCGTGGTGGCAGACCAGCAGAAGTCTCACGAGTTTGAGCAAATGTCAGATGAGTTTTATGCGCGCGTGATGGCTTACTCGATTTTATGACTCATCAGCACAGGGGTTGTGCAGCCTGCCTCTGTTAGTTGCATATGTGGAATGAGTCACCGCGCCTTAAGCCTAGGAGTGTGCCCTATTTGGACGCTTTTAAGGGAGGGGGTTTAACTGCGAGCGATGTCGATACTAAAAATTAAAGGGATGATTTAGGGTATTAGAACTGGGTCATAATTGCTGAGCACGAAGTGGTTGCTTACCAAAGACCAGCTTAGTGTGGCATGTTACAATAGTTATCGATTTCCAGCCGGATAAATCAAAACGCAGATAGGGAAAGATTTTTGCACTTTGGGGATTTTGCCAGAGCCATGAAAAAATTAAACAAAATAAACCATTTAAATGTAGCAAATATGTCCGGTCGAACTATGAACATATTCGGATTGCTTTAGGCCAAAATTTTTTCCAATGACTATCTATGATTTGAGAGGACTCTCATTCTGGTATAACTTCCACTATTGATAATTGGTCATTAACGCGTTATGGATTCATATAGAAAGTTATTTCTATGGCTCCTATATTTCTGCGGCTCTATACCCATTTAACGTAACACAACTTGCCCTATTTTATCGAAGCTGTTAAATGAAACTTCCCATATGGAAAGCGAATATCGCAAAAAATATGGTAACGCCTATACCACAAGAAAAGCTACGTGGAAAAATTGGAGATTTGTGCGGACAAAGTGTATCGGGTGATTGAAACTGATTTCTTACGGAGATTTTTTGCCAAAAGTGCGAACCTCTTAAAACACTATGCAGTTCCTAAAACCATTATTTGAGTGATGGTTCTTGAGCATTAGAGACAAACGTCCTTAAACCGGCGCCAAAATATGTTATTACTAGGCCCAAATCTATTGGTTGAGTGGGGGAGGGGGG